ATTCCAGGTGCATGCCCTCAATTCGTACTCCTTATTCCGTTTGCCATGAGGGGTCTCTCATTCGAGGCTGTTGTGGCGTTTTCAGTGGGGTGGTTTTTTTACGCGGCGGGTCCCAAACCCAGCGCACAACCCTATGCAGTGATAATTACGCACAGAAAATTTAATGAAACTTCTTTGTTCAATACTTTCACTTATCGCAAAACTCGCCGAATGCGCTTTCAGAAAAATTATTGAATTGATTATTTTGTCTACACCAGTAAAGAAGAAGAAAAATGAATATTGTGATGTGATGCCTCTAACACTCAAACCAATTATAAAAAAAGTATTTCGACTAATGGGGTTTCGCGCGCAATTTAAAGTAAAGTTGCTTACAGTAGTAAGAAGTTCTAACTCTTTAATTATTTAATTGTTGGACTTTCAATTTGCTGGTCAAACGGGATACATATTTAGGAGCTTTACTATGGAAGCATTTTCATATCGGTCATTTTTTTGGTTTACAGATTTATAACTTAAAAAAACTTGGATTTTCTATTTAATGACATACAAGAACGATATACTCGTACATACATACATACATAGTATTTCGTTAATCAAAAACCCTAATTGTTTATTGTGCACATTTTGAAAAGGTTTAGAAAAGGCGCCAAAAATGTAAACAAAATCTTATAAAACCGCAGCAGCGATCTGATATCTAACTCACAGAGGTGACAAAATGAGTTTGCTTTGTTACGCTCTCAAATACATTTGACTTTGTGCTCTCTTCCAACTCTTGCAGCTGATCAGCTAGGAGCGTAAAGCGATTGCAATTGATGCCGCGAGTAACTACGCATTCAAGAGAGCATGTGTAAGTCCAAACAGGTGAGAAAAGGGTGCCAAAACTACTACTAAGTGCGGAGTGGCGCCTTGCCAATGGCCGACGGCGAGAGCACCCGGAGTGCGCCAACGAATGCCACCGGAAGACTAGCGCGTGCACTCGAGCGCCAGTCGTCATTACAAAAGTGCGCCGCGTCGCGTGGAGACGTGCAATTGCGCTCCAAATTGAATCGTTTTTGCTTCGCTTTGTTTCGTTTGAACCCAAGTAAGTTTGTGGCGTGCGCCGTACGGAATTGCCTGGCGTTGGCTTGTGCTGTGTCGTACGCTTTTCTGTGCCGTTCGTTTGTGTTCTCTGCGCTGCAGCATCAGGTTGTAGCGCCAACGTGCGGGGCGCACACGTGAGCTTGTGCCAGTACTTGTGCATCCAAGGGATCGCGAGTCGGAACGCGAAATGTGTCCGTACATGTTCGCAGGAAATGAAGCGATAATCACATTACAATAATAGTCAAAAGGCTGGCAGTGGATATGATAATTACAGCAGCCGAAATGAAACACGAGAAACAGCAGATTTAAATTGGGTAAAATGCACGATGTTTGTGCGAAACCTACATATGTGTTTTTGTGAGTGCTGATGTTTGTGCTTCAAATGAAAAAAATGGAAATATATAAAATTTTGCTCATAAGCTTATTCGCTTGCATGTATGTGTGGTATGTGTGGTATGTGTATGTGCGCGTGCACGCTTGTTGAAGAGGCGTGCAACTTAGTTGTATGGGCGTCTTGATGCTAGCGCGCCAGGCAGCTGCGTGCGTTTTGGGCAGTGGTCGAATTGCAAAGTGCCGGACGTCGGCCAGTGGGCGACAGGTCCGCATATAACATACATACATATTAGTGGGGAAGTAGAATTATACAGGACGTAGTGGGATGCCTACACCAACTGATCAACCCGGGGGAGAATTGGTTAGCAAAAAAGCAGATCAACGCACTCAGAAAGGAGTTTCGGATCACTGTTAGTTTGACTGGACACGTCACTTGAGGTGATCAAGCTTAACTTAGCGCGCAGTTTCTGACCCAGTTAAACTTTGTTTTGAAAATTTTCAAAACGAAAGCACTTTGAAATATTTAAAAAATAAAATCATCTATCTTCGGTCCTTACCGCAGCATAGAAAAGTTTCGTTTAATAGCATAAACCATAGTAAATATGTCAGCAGTATTAAATAAGTCAAACCGCAAGCTTTGTTAATATAATTCAGAGGTATGAAAAAGCAGTCGAATTTCTTTCTTTCAAGCTTTTTTAAGAATATAGTCAGCACGTAAAAAATGGAAACACGGACGTTTTGATACAAACTAGTAGCTAATCGGCCAATCTTCGGATTTAATAAAAAACGGGATAATAGGCATAAGGGTTTTGAAAGTAGTGTAGTTTGAGCCAAATAAATCCTAGATTGGAATAATATTTTCATTAGTTCCACGTGTTTTTTTTGTTGCAAACTGGTGTTTAAACTTTTTTGATGTTGTGGGTAAATTTTAAAGCTTGGGAAGAGTTTGTTATTTTGAGACAAACAAATTTTTAATGACTGGAGACTGGAGATTTAGTATGACAACTACGAGCTCAGTTTTATCTAGAGGCTCTTTTTAACGTGACACGGCTTAATTTTAACGGCTCTACTTCTGATGGTGGTTCTTTTGCGCACCTCTGCTTCACAGCAGAAATTTTCGTTTATTTGGTTAAAAAAAATTCAATAAGTTGGCTTCACGATTTTCGCGCGTACTTCTCGATAGGTAATTATACAGCTCAGTAAGAACAGGGTCAAGTTTTGCTTTAATTTAATATTTGTTTGGCCTCATTATCAACGCCAACCTGTTTCAAGCCGAAAATTTTTATTTGAAATCCAAGCGATGTTTGAAGTAGCCACAGGAAGAAAACCACGCAAAAGACGCTTGAAACACTCCGCATCTTCTAGAGTTGTTATTATTTCGAAATCATGTGCAGAACAAACAGGAAAGAAATGAAAAATTAAAGAAATGTATTTGAGAGGCGGAGTTGCGGCTTTGATTGCGGCAGTGGCAGTGGCGAAAATGCGCGAAATTTGCCTTCACGTCGGTTTCGCATCGACCCATTTAACGTGTCCCATTAAAAGTAATTTAAGTGTTCGAAAATATGTAAGTAAAATATACACCAAAAACTCTCAAGAAGAAAAATATACTACACATTTGTACATACATATATCTCTGTCTATATATGTACATATGTATGTAGGCACGTAAAGCGTTCACAGATCCAAATACACAAGTAAGACTCACGAAGAGGCCAGATTTCGTACATGCATGCATATATATCAGCACATGTGAGCAAACGTATGGAGACGTACATATATATGTCTGTATATTTGAAGAGTTGGTAAGTACATATCTACAAGATACTCGCGACTCGCGACCAGTCCACAACCGTCTGCTTACACGACTGGCCATCGTACTTTGCATTCGTATGCAAATAAGTCAAAGTCCATGGCAAAAATAATAATAGCAAAAAATATCTGTAGTGTAAAGAAAACATTACAATTGTCAGTGTGTATGAAAAAGTGAAAAAATAAAAAAAAACAAAAAACGAAAGCAAAACACATTTCACCAAACCAAAACAACTGTAACCCACCAGAAGCAGCAGCCAGCATTGAGAAGCGTCGAGTGCGTCTCTTTGTGTAACAAGCGGCAGTTTCCAAAAGTAAAAACACCGGCAACAAGAGCAAAATTGCTATGAAAGAAAATTAAAATTAATAATAATAAGAATAATGAATGCATAAATAAACAATCACTTGCTCTTCACTTCACGGCTGCAATAACAACTGGGCTATTTACTTCGAGATTTGACCATAAAGCAGCTACAGCTACTTCCTCGGTTATTTGGGTGTGGATAGAGTATTTTTCATACTGGTGAGTTTGCAGTTATTACATAATATTTGACAAGGTACTATAACAGTTTATGTAATATTATACACACAGAAGTCAGCAAAGAAGGTTCGCCTAAGTTTCAATTATTACTATTACTTAATTTTTAATAAATGAGAATTGAATTGTACATTATTCCAAACACGCAAAATCTAATCATTATTTCAGTTTAGCTTCCAGTTCCACAATTTGAAAAAACACTACAACAGAACGTATAATTGGATTCGTTAATCAAGTGTATTTCCATAAAACACAAATATTTTTTTCAATATTTCCTAAGTTTTTTCGTTACTAATGTCTATACTTTTTCACTTTTTTATACTACAGAGTATAATTGTTTTTTCACCTAACGGAATATCACTTAAAACTAATTGAGATAGATTTAGGGTTAAATATATATAAATATATGAGAAAGTCGAGACGAGTTGAAAACCGTGTTATTACAGTAGCAATAAGTTGTGAAAAAGTGGGATTTGCCCCGCTCTCTATGAAGTTTAATGTACATATCTAAACCACTAAAGCTAGAACAACCAAGTTTGCCCAGCGCAAATATTATAAGAACTTCTACCAACAATGTGAAAATGGATGACATCGGGAGATATCCTCATCCACTCTCTATACAACGGCACTGTCGAAAATGACTAAAAGTGTGATAACTCAATAACTAAATGCGTCAGAGACATTTACATCCAGGATGGCATAAGAAGGCGGAGTGAAAATTGAAAAATTGGCGTGGCTCCTCCCACTTTTAGGTGAAGAATATACATATTTCGGGATCTGCTCTACCGATTTCAACTAAAATCGGCACATAACATTTCTTTGACTTTGCTGTGCTATTTTGTAGAAATGAGCGAAATCGGGCAAACAAAATATCTGTCAATGCATGGAATATACAGATGAAACTTAGAGAGAATGCTTTCCTGATAATAGTATCTCCATGTATCAAAAGTGGGTTGAATCGAGTCAATTCGTCCCTTAACCCTCATATATGTACCTAATAAAAAAGATTTTCTAACTTCTAGTTGATTTTATACCGCATATATCAGGCAATATGCTATCAATAAAAATAAGAGAGCGTGTTTTGCTCATAACAGTGTACCTTTGTGCTTAGTTGAAAAGGGGCGATAACTAGACCTAGCCCCCCTTAAATAATATCAAGATTTTCGAACATCCGGCTGACTTCACTTCATATGATTGGTGATTGTATATAAGATACATTAGTGAAACCCAGGGAAAATTTGTTTAGTATGTGTCATGATAATATTATGTAGTATTGGCAAAAATGGATAAAATCGGGTCGATACTACCCCAACTCCATATACATATGTATATAGTATATGTAAATCCAAAATTGCTTGAATTCCGATCATCTGGTTGACGTTTACACCCTAAAGTATTTCCTTTGCTTTGCTTTCTGCAAGTTGCAAAAGTATAAAATTTTCGGTTGCACCCGAACTTAGCCCTTTCTTATTTGTTGTTTGTTTATTTTCTAAATAGTATAATTATTTTTACTCCTCGAAGGCATATAACGGGTGTTTTTTAGACGAGTGATTTTCAATGCCCCAATACTTTTGTCGTAGTTGGTCTCTTTGACAGCCGTTACTTGATTTATGCTTAGATTGTTCGACATTTCAAAAGGAATACTTACTATACCGGGCAACGTCTGCAAATGGACCCAAAACGAGATGACCAGCGGACAATTTTGGCGATCGCATTACCTTGTCTCGTGGGTCTGTGGTGTGGCAAACCTTATCTTTATAATAAAGCTAAATTCTTGGCTACAACATTAAAATATATGTATGCCTTTTATTTCTTCTTGACAGCCACTCTGCTAAAAGCACCCTTTATTTTATTGCCTCTGCGAGAAAGATTAATTTTCTTTGTATTGATTCAAATGTTGATTTTTATGTACATATGAATATTAATACAATTAATGATTTGTTGGCTTGGTTACTTTTTAGTTCTGACAGCGAAAAACAGGGTATGGTAAAGTAGTGTCACAGAAAGCTAATAGTTTTTTCCGTTCCTGTTCTGTACTCGTATATTTTTGTGTTGTTGTTTGATTCAGCAATCGCAAATTACTCGTTGGAAATAATTTGGAAGGTATCATAAATAAGTAAAAGTTTTTACGACATTGAGAAGAAAGAAAATATTTATAGACCCACAATGCTCAGAAGTCAAGGTTATAAAAATTGTACAATTTCTCAATTGAAGCTGCGTCAGTAAGGTATTACATACTATATATCAACTATTCGGGTTTCGAAGTATTACAAAGATGTTAGGAATATGGAATAATTATTCTCTAGAAATGTTCAAGCTGATTTCAAATACATTTATTAAGATACAAATAAGTATAAAGGGTTTGATTTCACTGCATTAACAAATTTTGAGTTTTTGTAATGAAAATTGTATTCGAACATATGAGTATCTTCTTTTGAGAGATGCTATAGTAGAAAAATATGCGAATAGAGTTTTTCACGAATAGGTTTCCAAATGTTTAGCTAATATTTCTTATGAACCATTTTATCACCCAGAGCTAATTGATTTTACTTTTTCTTGCCATACAGTCTCGAAGATGTATTCATAAATCCAAGTTTCGATGCGCTCGATGAATATAGGGTCGGTTGTAATATTTGGATGCTCCATTTTTATGCATTTCATTAATTCGGTTTATTTAAATCTATTTTTTGGGGTTAGTTTTGTTTCTAACCAATTAAGATAAATTTAATGAAATCAAGATCAAGATAAGATCAAGCGTCACATCATACTTCACCAAAACCTAGTACATTGTATTAACCTAAGAAATAAATTTATTTCCATCCATTGTATGCCTTAGCTCTAGTTTAAATGAAAAAGTCGTACTTTTAATTTTAGATATCAACAAATAAAAGAAGACTTAGAAACGCTTGCTTGCTTTAAGATTTTTTTCTACCATTTTTAATAAGACTAAATGGATCAGTGTTTATTTGCTTCTTATGGTTGCCTGAGTTTTGTTTCTGTAAGAATATACAATGTGTATGTTTTATATATTTTTCGTACTCGCATGTTTCCAATGAAGAACCTCCACATGAGTGTACTTATGCTCGTATACGAACACCAAATATTCGCGAATGAACGCAACACAGAAACACGATAAAGCAATGGGCGACAATTTTTTCGGGTTTTTTGGTGTTGCACTGACCGTGATATACAAACATTCGAGACGCAAAAGTTGCGCAGGCGCAAACTCCATAACTCCAATTGAAACCACACTGCTACTATGTATGTGAGTATGTGCGTTCGTTTGATTGGATACCGGTGCAAGAGCAGGTGAGTGGCAACCACTTCAGCGATGCTGCAACATCGCGTTCCAGCAACGTCCGAGGGACGCGGCGACTGTAGCTAAAGGTAGAAGGTTCAAAGCGAGGCAACGCGCTGAAATGCCCTCTTGTCTTCTCCCATTTTTACGAGTATTTACAGTTTTATTTCTTTAAGTGGGTTTTTAATTTTGTTGGACTTTAACTTATTGACCAGTTCTATCCACATTTTATTGTCTTTAATGTAAGCAAACAATTCGCAGACACCCAGTCCGAAGTGGTAAGAGATGAATGCCGTAAAATAAAAGCAGAGACATGGTACTCACTTAGCTGGGCGTTCAGTTGGAGCGTTTCAATGCCAATAGGATGGAATGAAGAAATGTGGCGTGTGGCGTGTGGCGTGTGGCGTATATTCATATGCTTGTATTTAAATCATTGCGGCGCATGATGTTCCCTGATGACAGACTTAACAAAATCGTACAATATAAATGGGATAGATCAAGCCCAACGAGGAGGAGTCTGACAAATAAACGCGGTTACAAACTCGTTGCGGAGCGTAAAATTGTGTAAAATATTTATTGATGCTCTTTGACCGATCAGTTGTAACTGAAATATTATATTTTTCTTAATCTTTGAAGTACCTTGATATTTCTTGTTGCACCGTAAAAGGGGAACTAAATAAGAAGAGGAAATTAAAAATTCATTTTATTGCTAATTTCAAGAGGTCTTCACCAAATGTTATGTTTAAAACAATGTAGTTCGAAATTATTTTAATATTTTAGGTATTTTAGGAATTTCATTGAGCTTTATTTCAAATAGCAGGTAATCTTGCATCAAGAAACATTTAATTCTTCAGTTTGATATTCATATTTTAATATTTTTTGTTTTCATAAAAAAAATTAACAAAGTGGCAACCTTTAACCTTTTACTTTTAAGTAATTTGAGTATTATACCAACGAATCCGAGCATAAATTCGCTGTATATGACCAATGTGACTGCATTTTGTTGCGCAACGCTAATTCGTTTCAGTTGATTGTGTGAATGTTACTAAAATTAATTTTTGAAAATCATACATTGCAATCGTTAACATTGTTTAAATGTATTTTTTATTCAATATTTCCAAATTATTTAATATCATGTCTCGGTACTCACGGTACATTGATTTTAAGACATAAATTTAGAAATGTTCCTCAATTTTATTTTCCTAATATTTGATAATCTTAATTCTCAAGAGTTTATATAACATTTTATAATTTGTTTTATATAGATGACATTTGTTTCTCAAGTTTAAACGCCCAACACCCCCTAATTTACAACTGGCTAAACTGATGCACACACGGCATAGGACGAATCGTCAAGTGCATATATTCATACTCATACATGCATACATATATACAGAAATAGATACCTTGTTAAACCGCAATTGAGCATATGCCCGAATCCCACTATAGAGTGCTCAATCACCGGAGCTATGAAGCATGTGAAATCTCGCCGAAAGTGGATGCTCAGGGCTAGGACAGGGTGTTACGTTGCTTGTAGTTTTGGTTTCCGCCAATCTAAATTCACACATTCCTTTATCTTTGAAGGTTCATGAATTTAAGCACAATATTAAAATAAACAATCGTGTTTAGGCAAAACTGGTAAAATTCTTTGATAAATACGCGAGTTGGTAGAAGTTTTTTTATATTC